AGGATATTTGTCAATATAATATAGTGAAGAAACTAATTAAAAATCTCATGTGGTTTTCTTATTATTTTGCTTTGAAATATAAGAATAAAATCCAGTGTAACTCATTAATCCTTACAGTTAGAATAATGATTTTTTGATTATTTGTCATTAAAAACTTCATATATCAATATGATAATAATTACAATTCATTCCGTGAATATAAAATTTGGACCTGGACATGGTGTTTGTGGTAAATATTACAATAATGCCATAATAATTGCCTTAATATGTTGTGCATTGAATTGATTATTATTATTATGTTTATTATAGAAATTCACAATAAGTTGATTAATTCAATATCATTTGAAAAGTCATTTGATGTTATAAATAAGCTCGGTGAGGGTGGCTATGGACTGGTATATAAAGTTTGAGATAAATGTAACCATGAATTCTATGCAATAAAGAAATGTAAATTAAGTGGTAAATATTTTTAAATTTATAATATTTGCTATATTTATACTCATTTTTATTATATTTTGATTTTTCTAAAGGATTGACAGAAAAACAGAAACAAAATGTTTTGAATGAAACACAAAGTCTTGTGAAACTTCGGTCAGAGTTTGTGATTAAATACTACTATTCATGGATTGAATACAATTGTCTTTACTTTCAAATGGAGTTATGTATCGATAATCTCAACAATGTTTTGGAAACTAAGAAATCATNAAATGGAGTTATGTATCGATAATCTCAACAATGTTTTGGAAACTAAGAAATCATTGTTTAATGATTTGATGACTATTTCCGAGTTTTATATATCGTATCAAATATTTCGTGAACTCACAGAATGTGTGCAGTATTTGCACGAAAAGCATATCATTTATAGAGACCTCAAACCGGATAATGTGTTAATTACAAGCAATGGGTTGATAAAGTTATGTGACTTTGGTTTGGCTAAAGAGGTCTCAAATTGTGATCCGTTTCTTATGTCCAAAGTCAACCATACGGCAGATGTGGGAAATGTTGACTATATGGCACCGGAAGCCATGACTAAAGAATACAACCATTTAATAGATATCTACAGTCTATCCCTAATTGGGGCTCAAATTTTAGGTTTCGATACAAACGATATAATCGACGGAAAGTATGGTTTCATTTTAAAATAATCGTTTTTATGAAAAAATATATTAATCACTCGTATTATTATGCATAATATAACTCGTATAACTCATAATTATATTTCAATTTTAGGATTAAAACAAACACAAAATATAACAAAGATATGAATGAATTGATGCATAAAATGAATGCATTATTGGTGTCAATGAGTGTTAATAAGTATCGCAAAAACGGTTCAACAGATTGGAGGCAAAGACCCGAATGTTCGCACAATATAACGCATATTTTAAAATAATTTTAGGATTAAAACAAACACAAAATATAACAAAGATATCAATGAATGGATGCATAAAATGAATGAATTATTGGTGTCAATGAGTGCTAATATTTATTCACAAAACGGTTTAACAGATTGGAAGCAAAGACCCGAATGTTCGCACATTTTATCACAATTGCAGACACTTAAGACAAATAAACCCATTATTGGAGACAAAGAATTCAATTCTGTATTGAATACTATTATCGACAGAAAATATGATATACTATACGATCTATTTATTAAAAGCAAATCGTTTTGTATAATCCATATGACTGATGGAAATATAACTAATGGTTTGATATTTATAGTTTAAAATATTTCAAAGTGCAAACTTTTACATTTACAATATATATGTTTGTAGATACAACAGACATTAACGCAATTAACGAATCAATGTTTGAAATAATCAGGGAACAATTTCACGAGATATCATGGGTAAAAAACGAAGTCAAACATAAAATATCTCAACAAAAGTATTCGTTATTCAGAAGGTATCTACCATACAGTAAGTCTTATTGTATTATACTGTGTATGTGGTGGATATAAATTGATATTACTTTTCAACCCAGCTTCAATACTCTATACAGTAGTATAATATCAAAGTATTATATTAATTCATAGTATTCATGTTATAGACCACAAATCCTGATACATAAAATCGCTCTCACTGTAGTTCAATAGTATGTGTTAAGTACTGAACCTGTACAGTCTTCTGTATTTTATATTGTGACGGATCTTATTGTTGAGTCCAAGTTGTGGAGTGTAGTGAATGAGTATTTTCCAGAATTGTTTATTCCTTTCCGTTGATTGAGGTCTCAGATGCGTTTAGCCGTGATGAGTTTAGACTCGAACTGTACGAACCATCAAAAACAGTAGTATAACTATTATCGGATGCTAATAATAGCTAATACTGTCGAAGAGACTCCACTTTACTAAACAGTAACACACGATAGGGTCGCAGGGAATTAACGGTTGAGTTAAGAAAACTAAGACATATTTTGTAATTGTAGCACAAATGATAAAATTAAAGACATTTGTTTGCAGACTTAATATTGTTTTATTTTTGAGTTACATTTTTATATATTGAGTACACAATTTAATACATCGAGTAGTGAACTGTTTGAGAACAGAATCATAAGAGAGAGTTCTGGCGCTAAGCAATGAGTATATAACTGGTATAGAATATTCTGTAACGCGAGTCCAGAATTTCATCAGAATTTTCCTATTCTGTAACGCTAGCGTACATTGCATCAGAATTAGGCTTCGCTGCAATGTAATTCTACTCAACGCTTGCATCAGAATGTAGATTCTTAACATTTATAAGGTATTATATTTTGTTTTAGAAAAAACACATTAAGGTGTAACAACACACATCTTGGATTATTTTATATAATAATAGTACTATATGTAAGCTTTAATTATCAATATAGAAAGGGGGTTCTAAAAGTTGGGGTTGGGGCTTAAAATCGAGTTTTCCCCAAATTCTGTATTTAAACACATGTAATTCTATGGCTTATTTCTCGATAATGTGAAATACTCGGATTCTGATTTATGGCTAATTTTTTAGCTTTAAGATGTGTATTTTATGTGGTATAAATTTAGTTCATATACCAATGGTATGCCATATCAAAATCAATGAAAAACAGATAATTCTTAGGTTATTCTATAGGATATTCTTTAGTTATAATTCTAAAGTAATATGTATATAATAATAATGTTCTATTCTGGAGTCCTCACAATATACTCTATTAAAATTTTAGATGTAGTTCCTTGTTAAGTAAAAGTTTGAGTGTACTGGCTACAAAATTAAAATAGTACTGTCTCTAGCGGGAAATTAACATTATTTTTAAATTTTAACATTATTTAGAATAAAATTTTTTATAATAATTGTTGAAATATTATCCAATTTCTTTATATTGGTACTTATAACTGGTTTAATATATTAAAACTTATTTTATATATAAATTCTACCTAGATGTTTCGCCAAAGTCCCTTGAAGCATTGTCTAAATATGCGGTTAAAAACGAGTACAACTCAATCATATACCAATGGTATGCCATATCAAAATCAATGAAAAACAGATAATTCTTAGGTTATTCTATAGGATATTCTTTAGTTATAATTCTAAAGTAATATGTATATAATAATAATGTTCTATTCTGGAGAGTCCTCACAATATACTCTATTAAAATTTTAGATGTAGTTCCTTGTTAAGTAAAAGTTTGAGTGTACTGGCTCCAAAATTAAAATAATACTGTCTCTAGCGGGAAATTAACATTATTTTTAAATGTGGACCTATTTAGAATAAAATTTTTTATAATAATTGTTGAAATATTATCCAATTTTTTTATATTGGTACTTATAACTGGTTTAATATATTAAAACTTATTTTATATATAAATTCTACCTAGATNTTTATATTGGTACTTATAACTGGTTTAATATATTAAAACTTATTTTATATATAAATTCTACCTAGATGTTTCGCCAAAGTCCCTTGAAGCATTGTCTAAATATGCGGTTAAAAACGAGTACAACTCATGGATAGAAGATAATCATATATTCATTCAAATGAAATTGTGTTCAGACGATGAGATTAAATTAATTTGCAATGATCTGGATCAACTGCGTAAGAAATAAAATCTGTTTAGTATTTACACCAAACATACTCATGATTTCCATTATAGTTTACAATAAAAGTTATAAACCTATCCTTTAATATAAAATTGCTCATGCTATATACTTTTAATATATTTATTGTCATTTAAGTAAAGTATATTCATCCAGGAAGTTATATGTAAATTATGAGACATATATAAATTATTTATTTTATTACTTTAATTATCGATTAGTTCCCTGTACTATAATTTTATCATAATTTATTATCTGCTAATTTTATTGTTTTGCATTAAATTATTAATATTTATATAAATTTATTTTTTGTTGTTAAATTAAAATTTTTAATTTAATACAAACTTAATTAGTTTCAAATTATTTATCTATTTGTATTTCGTTAGAGAGTTTTTTCATAATTTGACTACTTATTTAAATCTCTGATACATAAAATTATTAATAAACAGTATTTAAATAAACAAAAAGTAATAATATATAAAATAAATGCGCGGAAGTGTTGGATTTGATGGCAGATAATAGCGCTTCCGATGACGACTTCCGGAACCGTTACGCGAAGATATGGCGCGACTTATACTCCGTGTCGTGTCTTATGTACGAAAGACAACGGTTTAAGCCACGACTCGGCGGTTGGTATCCGGAGCTGACGGACAGACCGACAGATATCTCGCGAAGACATCGCATCGCGTGAAACAAC